AGCTGAAGAGGGCAGGGACAGCGCCCAAGCCCAGAGTTCAAGCCCCATGACTGACAAAAAAAAACATATATATATATATATATATATATATATATAGTCAGAGCTGGGTGCCAGTGGCTCACACCTGTAATCCTAGCAACTCAGGAGGCTGAGGTCTGAGGATCGAGGTTTAAAGCCAGCCCCAGCAAGAAAGTCCATGAGACTCTTATCTCCTATTAACCACCAAAAAACTGGAAGTGGAGGGATAGAGGGAGGGAGAATATCGGGAACTTGGCTCTGGATTGCACTGATACTGCTACGCTGCCCTCCCATGGAACCCCTTGGGCACTTCCCCATGGTCCCCGAACTAAAGAAGGCTCCAGAACCGTCCTGTTGGCACTCAAACCATGGATCCCACAGTATGGGACAGTTTAGCCCACACTGGTCTCTAAATATTTCTGTATACCCTGGTCTTGAAGGCTCTGCTCAGGTTGCTGAGGAAACTGAGGCTGAGACAACACGCAGGTTACCTGGGCAGCTCTGGCGCCCTCGGGGGGTGGGGGGAGCTCTGGGAGGCAGGAAAACCTCCTGTCAAATATGCAGCGATGGAGGTGGGCATCCAGGGAGCGGAAGTCATCATAACTGCGGAGAACCGGCCAGGAACGGCCCTGTGGAGACCAGGATGGGGGAGGGAGTGGAAGGACAGAGGGAACAGGTCCCGTTACACTGAATCTGAGGACTTGGGGGGCCAGTCCCTCAGGCTAGATGAATGGTAGGAGTCACCTCACCTGACAGGTCACCTGTACCCCAAACACCAGTTCATTCTCTCCAGAGAGGCTGGGGCCTTCCCGCTCTGGAGACAGCAGCAGCTGCAGAAGGAAATCAAGAACCAGTAAGAGCCTCACTTCTGTCTAGGGATCCATGTGTACCCCTCCTGTTGCTCCCCAAGGACAGGGCCTGCTGATGTCTTATTCAGAGTACAATGCAGCAGACACCTAATAAAAAGTTGCTGTTGATGTCAGAGCCTCGTGGCTCACACCTATCATCCTAGCTACTCAGGAAGCTGAAATCTGAGGATCAAAGTTAGAGGCTATCCTGGTTAGGAAAATCTGTGAAACGCTTCATGAACCACTAAAAAAGGTGAAAATGGATCTGTGGCTCAAGTGGTAGAGTGCCAGCCTTGAGCACAAAAGCTCAGGGACAGCGCCCAGGCTCTGAGTTCAATCCCTATTAATGGCACACACATGTACACAGGTCACTACAGAATAAGTCAAAGGAATGAAGGAGCATCTGGCCCCAGCTACTCCTGCTAGTGACTCAGAGCACCCAGTCACAGGGTCAGGCTTCAGGGCAAAGCAGATAAGAGGGGTTCAGGGCTGGGAGGTTCTCACCTGCCACTTGGGTACAAAGCCTCCTACCTGAATGTGGCCAAAATCAACGTTTTCATAGTGGAAGTGGGCACAATCAGCCAGCCGGGGGAAAGGACCTCGAGGAGCAGAAAGTCTGGGAGACAGGTGACACAAGACACAAGACAGGGGTTGTGTCATGGGGGGGGGCAGCTCCCTCCCTCCTGAACTAAGCCTATCCGTCCCTGCCCTCCTCACCTCTTCCCAGGCTTCCCCTTCACACTGGGCCCCCCAGTGGGGGCAGCAGGTTGCACGGAGCCCTCCCCCGGGCCATCCAGGCTGTCTGTGCTGCGGGCCTGCGAAACAGAGAGAAGACTCTGAGGGCCCAGAGATGGGGAACAGAGAGAAATGGAGCATTGTTATCTGCCAGAGGCCTGCTTGATCCACACACAGTCCAGATTCTGGAGTGAGAGGGTAGGTCAGGGGGATGGGAGGAGGGGAAAGGAAGTCTGGGCTACAGACAAGCCTGCTTCTTGTGTGGTCTGGGGTGGAGGGCTGGAGGAGCAGGGACCCAGGGTGATCAGGCAACAGGAGAAAGGGCATGTGGGCCCCATCTCTCCCTATTGAAGACCCTGTACCCCAACTGACAACTACTACAGCTCTGCAGGGTACAGTCACCTCCTGCCACTGTCTGGACTGTCACAGCCCATATCTCCTCCTCCTCTTCTTTCTCCTCCCAACTTCTTCCCTCCCTCAACTTCTTCATGAGTGCCAGGATCATTTTCATAAAGCACAAATGTGGCCCTGTCTGGCCACAGATCCTGGGCCTTCAATGACCCTCAGTTGTCTTCAAGATGAAATGAGAACTCTGTACTGATGATGTTCATACTTCTCTGAGTTGGTCTCATTTTACCTCTCCAGACCCTCTCTCCCCCATACTGAGCTCTTCTACTTCTCAGAGTCCTGGGAAAAGTGTCATCTTCCCATGTCCTTCTACATCTACACAAAGACTACACCTCAGTCTGGAACCCCGGACCCTGTCCCTAGGTTCTTGCCTTAGCCCCAGGTCTTAGCTCTCATGGGTATTCTAGAAAGCCCTCCTTGCATCTTTAGATTGTACCCAGTTTCTCTTCTGGACTCCCCCATCTCCAGAGGTTCCCATCCCAGGCTCCCTGAATCTGCCTGAGCCCCCCC